CAAATGACATTGGTTGTAATCTTGCCCAAACTAGCTATCCAACGTCGAGTTCTCTCTAGGGTCTCAAGTTTCCAGTATGTGTTGGAATTTAAACTTAACGTATGAATAACTTTCTGGAATTCATCTTGTCAAGTTATCAAAGGTCAATAGGAATACATGGATTCATGTGGGTTGATTGTCAGAAGCCTGATGCGGAATTTGACAGGCGATATGCAATTGAACGATACATCAAGATCACGATCCGGGAGGTTTTGTAACCTTCCTGAACTAAGCCTCCATAGTTCATATACATGAGATAATTGATCTTCTAGATTTACAGAAGAAGATACTGATTTTAGTCTTGGTATGTTGGGGGGGTCTATGACCTCAAAAATAATCTTTATATACTAGTCACCATGGACTCCCATAAAACTCTAGGTGAGTAAGTATTGGTTTCCACCCATTTAGTTCCATATTGGGTTTAAGTAATCATGGGCTCGACTTATTGACAAATTGTAGTTAGCCCATAAATACAAATAGCCAATATATGTGTTGTGAATTGGTAGCTCACGTAAGTTAGGAAATGAAATTCGTAACCGAATATCCTTCACAAATATTATTCATTTTATGGTTAGGGGATGTGAGACATACAAATTGTAAGCGAATCTTGATGAAAAATATCCCACCAAAGTTCTTGTCCAGAAGATTGTGTCTTCGTCCTAGGAAAGATGATTTGCCGACACGATCATGATTTTGGCTTGGATTTCCGAGGGCATAAGGTTGGCAAATTGGTCGACTCGCCACCATCTATTCTTATAAGTATAACTAGAAACTAGTTCTTGCTTCATTTCCTTTGTGATGGGGCCTAACACAATCGTCATAAGAGGGACCTGCAAAATCCATAAATTCAACCAAAATATGGTGTTTCTATCATTATTAATTTTCCACGCATGCCCCTTAGAAGAAGGTCAGCCGCTTTAGTAATGATCTCCAGACAAAGGAACATTCACTGAGCCTTTTGTCACGAGATATTGGTTGAAATGAACATGGCTAAGTTGGAGACGCTTACTCTCTATCCAAAGTTGGAACAAAAATAATCTAAACTCTTCTCGCGGACCTTGTTTTGTTGCACTTTGCTTCTTGGGATAACACCAATTTATCTACAAAAAAGGTGTGAGATAGTAGGCACATTGAAATGCTAGAGAGCTTTAGGGCTTTCTAGTGTTTCTCTGCAATTTCCTGATCTATTATGTTTGGAAGGCATTTCATGCACAAAACGAAAAGGTAAGGCGATAGATGGTCTCCCTATAAAATTCCTCGAGTCAAAGATATTTTTTTTTTTGGCAAAGTCAGTGTTGAAAAGATAGTCACAAGGAGGAAGAAAGAAAAACGCGGGAGTCGACCAATAGTCGAACTCCCGATGAGAGGGCCTTTTGTGCCACATGATGGGCAGCCCTATTTAGTCGACAAGAAACAAAGCAGTAAGAAATCCGACTAAAGTGAGAAGCTAAGCTCCGAGTATCCTCGAATAGAGCTCCACCCCGATCATGCGCCAAGTCGCCTCCCACCATCCCGCCGTATCAATTTGTTGTGAATCCCCATGAAATTTGACAGATACAAAGGAATGTGTCAGGCACCACTGTATTGCCTCCAGTATAACAAAAGGATCTTGTAATCCTTCATAACTCTTTCCGAAAGCAAATAAGATATTACCTGAAGATTGGAAACCCACAAAGCCAATACTACCTTCGTGACTATGCTTGACCGCACCATCAAACTAAATATTAATAGTGTTCAAGGGTTTCCTTCAACGTCAAGGGCGTCATTTCCAAGTGCTCCATCAAATCTCATCAAAAGACCACCTAGTGGACAAGACAGCCGCCACCGATCGATTATTGTGCAATTGAATCTTCACCTGCAAAATGAGCAAACAAAGGTCCCTACTAGGACAATCCAGGCCAAAGAGCCAACAAGTCAACATAGACACAAGGCATCAATTCGCCCTTGAAATAGAGTACCAGGTCATCGGGAAACCCTAGATAACCGGCACCACCCGATAAACACCTAAACTTTTTTTTCTATTTAATAAAAGGTACAACCTAGATGCGGGGACCTAACAATTTGCAAGTATAAAATTTAAAAAGAAGGCAACAGATACATACGAGAAAAATGAATTTTTTTGGAAAGAATAATTAAAAATAAATAAAGAATGAAGGATAATTATTAAGGGAAATAAATAATAATAATAATAATAATAATAATAATAATAAAGGAATACTTATCTGAACCGTCGGCCAAGAAGTGTAACCGCCACACCGTTTGTGATTGTAACCGACAAGATTCAGGCCTGTGGGGAGATGATCCGCCGGCAGCTTGAGAGTCCGGAGATCGCACTTGAGAGGAGCGCGACGGGCGGTCTCGGTAGCAAGACGTTGACGAAGAGCGCGGCTTCGAGCTCCGGCGAGAGGAAGAACTCCCTGGCCGCCCGGAACTTTTTGGTCGCCTTGAGGATCGCGGAGCGGGAGAGCTTGCGCTTCGCAGGAGCTCTGAGCGGCGCGGGAGGACAGGTCTCCGGCTTCGGCAACCGGTGCTCCTTCTCCTCCGGAGTGGAGAAAGCAGGATCAGCAGCGGCAGGGATCGGTGAGAGACTCGGTCGTTCCGGCTCGTCGATGACGGCGAGCTTGGCAGTGGAGACGTAGATCATCGTTCCGGCACCGACAAGACCACATTGTTGAACACCTGGGAAGTAAGGAAAGAAATCGCGCTGGGGATCGCGGCGGGCCTGGCCTTCGAGTCAAATATATTGCATGAGAAGATTTTTGTTCCATAGTTGTCTTATTTTATTGTGCTCCACTAGATACATGATGCGGCTTATCCATGAATTCAAAAGCATATCTACATGAGTGTGTCTCGAGGAAGACCATCAAAGTCTATCATAGGTCTTTTCAAGGTCAATCTTGTAAACATTGCCGCCTTCTTTCTTTCTTTTCCTCAAGGAGTGCAGTACTTGTTGTAGAATGATTATGTTATCATTGGTTTGGCGTCCATGTATAAAGTTGCTCTGCCTTGGGAAATTAGCTTTAGTCTACTAGTCATAGCCTAGATAATGGATTTGAGGCAGGCGTTGTTGAGAGAGATATGTTGAATTTGTGTGATCCATTATGGGTGCTCAAATTTTGGTATGATGAAAAATAAGACTTAGAGACTAAATTTGGAAGTGTCATGATTTGAAATAAGCTTTATAGCGTGATCGTCAATGCTTTCCCTACTATAGCCCACCTATTCTATTCAACGAGGGGTTCAAAGATGCCAGGACCAGGAGCTTGAATGGCTTCATCGCAAAACTGGTGTTGTGAATATCATTTATCATGAAGGTTCTTACTAGCTACATAAGCTCTTCGTGGTGAAGGCGAGGTAAACGCTCGTGGGCATCAAGTTCAAGTATTGTGAACCATCATGCATCATGCTTAGAGAAAAATTGTAATATAAACAAAGAAATGTCATTATTATTACACAAACATTCTCCTATACTCTTTTTATCGTTAAATTATGTTGCAGTGCAACTCTTGCGTAATACCAAATAAGCACATCTTGTCCTAGGACTTTATCCAACTCAGCCCCAAACTTTTTATGCAACTTAGCCAAACTAGGGGAGAAACTCAATTCCCTAATCAATTGATGAGCCTCTTCTTATTTTGTTCAATGTTGCCAAAAAAAACCTCATTGTTCCATCATTGGAGTTTAGCCAACAACCCTTTGAGAGCAGATGCAAATAACCCAAGTAAAAGCATAATACAGACTTTCTCATTGATAAAAGAATATTGACTATTGAATAGTGAAACATTCATTCCTATACAAAATCATTTCTTGTTAATTATAACTAGTTTTTTGTCCGCACTTTGAAGTAGTAAAAACTAATTATATTTAAAACTTCATCCACCCATTTATTGATTTAGTTGAAAAATCAAATAGTTCGGGAAAAGTACCTTCTTAAACTTTACGTAATATCTTAATCATTTCAGGATACTTACTAATACGTTTGTTTAATTGATACATAATAAATATAATTTCATAAGATTACGTAATGTGTTTGTAATATAGGTAAATGTTATATAATGTTTTACACAAATCTTATATAATAATAAAATAAAATTATAAAAAAGTATGGCATGTGATTGAACTATTACGTCAAAGTTAATTTACATTACGAAACCTTTATTTAATGCAAATGCATGAGATGATAAATACCATAGGTAATAATAAATGAATTTTAATTAATAATAAAATAATAAGTTAGAAAAATTATCAAATTTGATTAAACTTTTATGTAAAATTTTATTGTTTTTACATTGCTTTCGTGTAATTCAAATTGATGATATGGTCAACAATTTAGTTAATATTAAAGAAATCTGTGTTCCTTATATTGAAGAAGACTTACGAAAAATGTTTGTTTGAATGATACATAAGAAATGATTATCTCTCCATAAGATTTACATAGTGTCTTAATCATTATGTAATACTTACATAATATTTTTGCTTAATTGATACATAAGATATAACTATCACTCCATAAGTTTTACTTAATGTATTTTTTGAAATAAGGGCAATGTCTATTTTTTAACCAAACCTTTTTCAGATTCTTTTATTTTAACCAAACCTATTGAATTCCTAAAAATTATCCAAACGTTAACTCTCCGTCAACTTTTCTGTTAGTAATGCTGACTAAGTATGACCATAATGAGTTGACTTCCTACATGGCGGTCAGAATACCATCATTTACTATTTTTAATAAAAAGATTATCAAAAAACAAAACAAAATCCCACCTCTCACGTGGACGAAATAAGTAACGGTAACAGAATGAATGCCCGGACTTTGATAAATTATAATACGTTTGGATAATAAATAGAATTTCTATAGGTTTGGTTAAAATAAAAGAATCTGAAAAAGGTTTGGGTAAAAAATAGGCATTGCCCTTGAAATAACTCAAAACTATCACATTCTCAAATAAATGCATTATTTTGCTCCAAATACCACGTGCAAAATTATGCATCAAAACAACCTATAACATTACAAAACATTTTCCCTCTTTCATTAAGGTCTTTCAGCAAATATAACGTCGTGGAAGGAAATTTCAAAATGTATAGCTTCAGAAACGTGAAAAACTAAAGTCTTTTTCTATATCAAACGAAGAAGAAAACAACAATGAAAACAAAACTCCACGGTGTATCTTTTTTAAAAAAGGCTATTCAGTTGCATCTGCTGCAACATCTTCATCATCAGCTTCTTCTGCATGATCTTCTGGTGCATTAACAGGAGGAGTATATGTATGGTGTCCTCCTCCATGCTTTCGCTGTAGGCTCCAGTACATGATGCTTGCAGTTAATATCAGGATCATCTTTTGGTTCACCTGGACTCAGAAAAATAACTCAATGTATCAACCATTGACTTGGAAATTAAGAAAGGTTCATAGAACTACTCCATTACCTCCATGATGTCCTCAGGCAATAAGAAGATGGAACATCCAAGCTTCCTTGCAACACTGATGATATATGTCGCATTCATCTTCTTGTCCTCATCTGCAAAGATTAAAAGAAAACAATTAAGACAAGAAAGGAATAACATACTATGTAAAGATGGTCAATATACCAGTTTCTCCAGCTCTACAGACTTCCCAGTTGACCACCCTAGGCTCCACTGCACTGAGAAGCTCTAGGAAAAAAACCCCAGTAGCTAGGTTCTTATCCTGTAAAAAACAAGAAGCAAAATTTTCAGCCATCATCAACGAAAGATGGGAACAAGTTGTTTAATCCTCATTGTAATTATTACCTTAAAGCTTTCCATTTGAGATGTTTTACCAGACTTCTTCACTTTGTCATTCGCCCATTGTATAATGTCTGTGTCAGTTATCTCCTTACCTTCACTGGAGTGAGATCTCAAGTTTCTCAGTAGTTGTAGCATACTGAACCTCATTAGTTGCCATAAATATGCTGCTTGGAACAAGAATGCGTGAAAAATAAACAATCATGAATCAAGCATAGTGCGGGAGCATAAGTAACAAAAAAAAAATGCAAATATAATCAAGCAACCTATAATAAGCTTCTTGTTTCCTTGGACAATGTCATTCCCAGCTACATTCACAAGTGAGAAATGCATGTCCCTTCCAATCTGTATAACCTGGTTACAATTTTCAACTTTTCTGAAAGGCATCTTTATGGGAGGCTTAGTTGCTAGCTTCCAGTTAACTGATCCAGGGGAGACTTTGTCGAGGACTTCCAAAATAATCCATCTACAATAAGAAAAGCAACTAAATCAGTTGGGCAATATTAGCAAGGAACACTACTGCACAAGTAAAAATTGATAGCTTTACCCATTTCTAACATCCTCAAAGACATTGTTGCAGTGTGTAGGAATCCCAAGACTATTGATCCATAGTCGGAAGCATCTCTCTTCTCGAGAAGTTTGATCATCATCTTCCATCATCTCTGCATAGGATACTTTTGAGGTTTCGGTAGCATTCAATCCATTTCTGGGAAAGAATAAAAAATTAAATGAGTTGATGAACCATTCATTTTACTAGAATAAGAAAACAAAAAATATTATATGAGATCATTCTGTACATTTACCTATGCTGGAAAATTTCTGCGACGAATGCCAAATTAAGATTAGCTGATCCTTCAACAATGTCTGTGGGAGTAAGGTATTTGTTACACTCCAATTTTTCTGCTTGCTCAATAACCATATTTGCCCTCTCTGTAGGATCCATAACTTGCAATGCATCAGGGGTACTAAGTTCCGGTGCAAGAGCAGTAAGGAGGTAAGCATAAGCTTCTCCATCCTGAAAAGTCTCCAACGTTATAGCCATAGAAGATAAAAACACAATATGACGCATAAGATAAACATATCACAATGCTTTGATTGTGATTTACCTTCACATCAGAAGAGAAGTTTGTTACTTGCTTAGTATATCCAGCCTTTTTTAGATGGAAGTTCATCCATTTTAACAGAACCTTCTCGGGTGCTAAGTTCCTAAGCTCTTCCACTTCCTACAATTTTCAGACAAAGATGTGAGAAAAGAAATCGTCAGGAAGATATTTCATCCAAAAGGTATGAGTTGAAAAATCCTTCACCTCATTTTCATCGACCAATTCAACAAGCTCAGGCGTGTTCTTAAGATTCACATCAGCCAGTAGTTGAATCTAAAATTCAACAATAACAACAAAATCATTTATCCAATACCCATAGTTCATGACCATATATATATAAATTACAAGTTCTATTTTTTGTACCTTAACAATTTGAGAAATCAATCCAAGAACCAAATGAGGCTGAAAAAGGAAAAGGAAAACAAGAACATTACAATAGTTCAAATTAAGTTGCTGATTTTTACCAAGCAAATGACTAATAGCTTACTCTAGCTTCAACGAGATCTTGAGTACCGATATTGACAACAGTACATCCAATAGCCTTAGCTGAGTTAAGGCATAGTGTATGATTTTCATTTCTCTCCCATGGATTAGGAGCTTTTTTTGTATTGATTGCTCGCTCGTCTATTGTGTTAGGGACAGCCACATTGATCAACTTACTACACATCATTGAAATAAAGAGAACATACTTAAGATTCAATGTTCAAAACAACATTGTAAGCCAACAATCATACTCAAACTGGAATTACCAAAGGAGGACACCATCTTTGACAAGATCAAACAAGGCATTTGTTGAGGGATCAATGGGGAGGTAGTCCTTCAAGAACTTATCCTCTCCCAAGTGCTTATTAATGTGCTGGACATAAGATTTCTTTTCAGATTCATTAATGTTATGGTGGAATGTTGTTGTGGACGCCTTGAGGAATGAGGATGAACCTGCTAGTTTTTTGCCTGATGATTTTGATTTTATGGATGCTCGTCCATGCAAGTTTAGGTATGCCTATGAGAAATGACAGAAAAAATCAAACTATGATTATCCTAACAAAGAGGAATGGAATCAATAAGAGTTGTGGATTTCACAAGTCACCCTAAGGAATGATTCGAAATCGATCTCTTCATCCATGTTGGAAGTTGATTCTTGAAGCATAGCACTGATATCATTCTCGCTAAAGACGTCGATAAAGGCCTTTAGTTTTGAGAAAACGGCTGGCATATCTCCTACCGTGACCCGACCATATTGTGTTCTCACTGATACATACTGTGAATCATAAAATCAAAATGCACCCATCAATCATCAAAATCCAAAGCTATGTCATAATGTTCGAATTTTAAGGCTAGCTAGCATCAAAATTCATATGAAAAAGTTGTCACCTTGGACTTGAGGGTGCGTAGCTGGACTTGGGTGAACTGACTCTGTAGCCATGGATCAGAAACAAGTACACCCTCAAAACTCGACATAGTTTCCTAGAATTTGAGTCAATAAATATAGCCACCTGCAAGAATAACATGCATTTAGATCGAAACACAACTTCGTTCAGGGATTTGACGAACAAAAAATGTTCTATTTATGAAGCCAACGAATGGCTAACGAGGGAAGGAAGCAACATTACTGTTTAAAAATATTATGAACCCACGTAGGGAATTCGATGAAAAGTAACAGACTTTGGGATGAAGGATCGACAACAAGTAGGACAAGCTTATTAGAAGAGGATTGAGCAAAAGGGGAAGGAAGAGATTATCAAAATGTGAAATGAGTACGTCTGAAAATTAATGAGTAAGAGAGAGAAAAGGAGAAGAAATTTTTTGTGAGGTAATGGAAAAAATTGGAGTGTGGAATGGGAGAAAGGAAGGAAGGAGAGAAATGCGTGTTGCCACTAACGAAACGCAAAGATAAATGAGAAAGAAAAGAAGTGCTCTTGAAATAGGAATTTTTTATATAGGAGGAGAAAACAGAGAGAGAGAGAAACATGGAACCAAACTTGTCATCTTTTCTCACTCTTCAATGTGTTGATCAAACGTGACTTATTCAAATGTACTTCGATTCAAGTAATTTCTAACCTAGAATGTTTTTATATATGTTTGACATAATTCATAGTCTTATTTAGTATATGATGAGAATCTTACTCATAATGATCTACCACCACAGTAAATCTTATTAAAATAATTTTTTTTGCTTTTTCACATTGCTATTAAATTGAAAAATGATATGTTACGGTACTTATATATACATATATGGTTCATACTAACGCACACTAACCTTACTATATGCCTAGTGAGTTTTCGTTATTTAGATCTTTAATTAATTAGAGTTTGAAGCATAGTACATACCATAACCTCTAATGGAAGAATCCTAGTCCCTAATTTCCAAATCCAAAACATGAGATCTGATGTGATTCCCGGCCGAACGAGTTGAGAGAGCAGCGAACGTATTGAGGGAAGGTGCGACCTCTGGCTAGAGGGAATCTAATCCCCGAACGGGGATCAAGTGGGGTGACCGGGGAATTGGATCAGTGGTGCCCCGACCATTTGGGTTTAAATCCTTGACCGTGGATCTGAGATCAAAGATCGGGGCTGACGAGTGAATTTACCTTTTTTGTTTAGGATTTTTTAAAACTTTTTGGGGTTTTTATTAGTTTTTGTTTCTTTGGCCTATATAAAGGCTTAAACTCGAGTTTTGTGGGAGACAACGAAGAATATTGAGTTTATTTTGGTTCATTGAGCTTTAGGCTTGTGAATTTTCTCTGTATCAATTGAGTTTCCTCCTTGATTGTGGTCGAGATTCTACCCATATATTGATAGAGACTTCTGCTAGGCGTGAGATTGCACTTCAATCCCGCCTTATCTAAATCTTTTTTATTACTATTCATAGCTGTGTGGCTTTGATAACTAGGGCTTCAGTTTTGTGCTCGTATCAAGTGGTATTAGAGCTCCGATTCAATACAATGGCAAGGAAGACAACGAAGATGCAAACCATGGAGCCAAACCTTGCAGATGTCATGTAACAGCTTGCATCACGGATGGTTAAGATGTGAGATTTAATCAAAACCATGGTTGAACATAGTTCAAGTTCTGAGGAAGTCGACGTTGATCTAGAGGAAGATTTGAAGGATGTCATCGATTATGGTGAGTTCCTTGAAGGAAACACAGTGGTTTCTACAACACTAGGCACTCGAGAGAAAAAGAAACTCGAAGAAGGTGTTATGGAGTCTCAAATATCAAGCGAAGAACTTGTAGAGAATAGGCTTAATTCACGTAAACTGTAGTCGTTGGAAATCATTCTGGTGACCAAATTATCACCACCGCAAAATTCAAGATGCAGTGTCGAGTTCTGGAACTTCTATGTGCTAAATCCAATCCAAAAGGATTGGATGTGGATGCCATTACCTCAGGGAATGAGAGTCGATCAATAAAAAACTATTGTATCGATCTTGGAGGAAAGAGAATTGATCTTGTCAATTTTGCAGAACCTGATAATTCCGACCTCAACGTTCAATTCTGCAAATTGAATGACAACTTGCGTTTTGAAGTTCACGGACTAGAGCCTATGTTTGCTGAGCTGTTTGAACTCTTGATTTCGTGGAATTGTGGAGACTGTTTGTTGTTTCTTGATGATGATGCATGGAATTTCGTTTGGAAGCCAGGTGAGGAAGCTTGCTTGGATCAAGAGTTTTGTGGATTGTCTGAGTTTGAATGAGAGTATGATATATTATTTTTTACTCAAGCTTTGAGCGCAAAACTTCTTCAACGGGGTGAGACTTATAAGATTCCCGACCGACCGAGGTCATAGAGCAGCAAGCGGGTTGAAGGAAGTTGCGACCCCCAGCCAGCGGGAATCATATCCCAGACCAGGGATCAAGAGGGGTGACTAGAGAATTGGATCAGTGGCACCCCTGTCCAGCTGCGTTTAAATCCATGATCGCGATTAGGGCTACCAAGTGAATTTAGTTTTTTTGTTTAGGATTATTTTCCTTTTCGAGCTTTTGATTAGTTTTTGTTTATTTGGCCTGTAAAAAGGCTTAAACTTGAGTTTGTGGTAGACATTGAAGAATATTGAGTTTATTTTGGTTCATTGAGCTTTAGCCTTGTGAATTTTCTTTGTATCAATCGAGATTCCCCTTTGATTGTGGTCAAGATTTTACCCTTATATTGATAGAGCCTTCTCCCAGGTGTGAGATTGCACTTCAATTCCATCTTATCCCTATCCTTTTATTTCTTTTCTTAGTTATGTGACTTTGATAACTACGGGTACCGGTTACGTGTCGTATCTACCTCAGTCATAATGTTCTACAGCCACAATAAATCTAACTAAAATGAAAATCTTAGTTTTTTTACATTGCTCTTAAATTGAAAAATGATATGTTAGGGTACGTATATATACATATATGGTTCATTCTAGCATACACTAACCTTACTATATGCATAGTAAGTTTTTGTTCTTTAGATAATTAATTAATTAGGGTTTGAAGCATGGTACATACCATAACCCCTAATGGGTGAACCCTAGTCCCTAATTTTCAAATCCTAAATATGAGATCAATTTAATAAAAAATAATAACCTACAGTCTTTATTCGGCAAAAAATGCATGTTTGTACATATATTAAAAGCATATTAAAATATTTACATTACCAAGGAAGCATAAATAAATCGTTCATAAGGCGATAATAGTCAACGAAAATCAAAATCAAACACACTAGTAGGAAAGAAAAAAATGGTCTTCTTACATGCTAACCACCCTATTGTTTTGCTTACCCACAAAACAATTAAAAGGTTGAGTTATCATAACGTAATCAGATTTTTTTTTTGTCAAGAATCACACCCTTATAGCATCATGAACCATTCAACGATTAATCTTATTAATAACGAATTTTTTGTCTCCTTGCTAGACCATCTACTCTAGGTCGATCTGTGAGCACATCAGAACGTATCATGAAAGGTGATCAATTCCACCGTGACTGGATCGTGCATAATAGGATAATTAAGACCCTTTTCATTATCATATCCCTACAATAATTGTTTATGGCCAACCATGCCACCACATTGAGTGGGAATTTTTGGACAACTTCATCAAAGTACCTCACAAAATGTGTCATCTAGCAAGCCATCCAAGAACAAAAACTAAGATGGTGGCATCATAGCTTACCTATTCCTCATAGACTTCCATATGCCTCATGGTTCACCTTACCCTCGTTGACATTTCATTTTGCCCTAGCGAATCCCGAAGAAAATTCCAAAACTATCAAACTTGAGCATACATTTTTGGGTAAATAGTTAAAGGGACACAATTTCATGTAATACCTACACTCAACGACAATATGGACGATCCTATTGCAACATTACAGAATTGCTTCTAAACAATATTACGAACTAGCAAATCATATTTTTAACTTATTTTACGGTAGTTTTTGAACAAATTTTTGCCGCAAAACTTCACAATTTTTCATGTTACTTTTATCACTTAAAATTTTCTTCATAATCCATAAGTTTCGCTAATCTAAAACTAAAAGTGTACATATATAATTGTCCTTATTAACATTCGAACATACAACCTATTAGACCCAAATTACAATTTTAGATATGTAGCCAATAGGGTGAATTCTATTTGATGCTACTAAGCACAACAAGATTATTGTTCATGTCTTCAAACATGTTGAAGACCTACGCTTTGATCGTGATCTTTTTACTTTTTTGTTTGGCATTCAACTCAATAAAAATGTTTTGGCTCTAAATTCGACATAAATTATAATAGGAAAAAATATCATAACAAATAGTGTATAATATTTTTTTTCCATAACATATAATTTTTTTGATTACTTATTTAATAATATATTCAATAATAATTTATAAATGAATGAAAAAAATCATACATAATAAAATATGAATTTAGTTATCACACAAATAAGAACTTTTATTTAATTTTTTGTGTTATGTTCATTTCAAATTACAAAATAAGAAATTAAAGAATAATATTTTCATATAATAAAACACCAATGATGCAACATTTTATTTGCAATGTTGTAATATGTTGACTAGTACACTTACATTTTGATTTATAAAAAAATAGTATTTTCTTTGTGTGGATTTGCTGCATAATCTGATGCTAATTTTATAAAGTTAAAATGCTGACATACTAAGCAAATGCATACGATCACAATTATAGACAAGCGGATCCATATTCAAGCATCATGGGGCTCGAATTATTTCCATATTGATATTACCGAAAAAGCCTAAATTCACAAAAATATATCAATATTACGAAACTACTATGTTTAATTATTATTTTCAATCAGAGTGTTAAGTTTTGAGACAGCTAGATTGAATTAGAATAGGATTTAAGATGAAAAATTTACCATGTTATTTTGACAAGAAATGAGTTAAGTATCAACAAACATTAATAATACATTTCTTTTTTTATTTTTACAAAGGGATTGCTTATATTGCTCATTAAATAATTCAGTTACAAAGAGAGAATAACATCGTTATAAATGGAAACAAGAAAGAACAACCTCATACCAACAAAAGTTAATAATAAATTTTTGGCCTAATACCAGAAAAAGGCCCGTAGTTTAGGGTTTAGGTCACTTGTACCCCTATGTTTATATCGCGTCACTTATGTCCCCAAGTTTAGTCTCTGTTTACTTTGACTGTTAGTGGTCAAACGGTCAACTATTGACCGATGATGTGTCACATGACATGGACTATTTTTACCACATCACTTATATAAAATAAAATAACATAATTTTACAAAGAAATAAAAAAACCCCCAAAA